CCGCGGCCGGGCTGGGCCTGGGGGCGAACGGGAGGCCTGCTCCCTGGGTCGGGTCTGGAGTAACTGTGTCTGCAAACCCGCTGTCCACTTCCCGGAAGCGGGCTTTCCCCCATTCTAATCGGTGCGTAGTGTCTCCTTGTTCTCCTTGTTGTGTTGTTGTTGCTTTATAGGCTGAAATGCTTTTATTGTTTTCATTTTTATTTATTTTTATGTTTTAAATATATTTTCTATTTCAGAGAGGAAGGGATAAGGAGAGACAGAAACATCAATGATGAGAGTCATTGATCAGCTGCCTCCTGCACACCCCCTACTGGGGATCGAGCCCGCAACCCGGGCATGGGCCCTGATCAGGAATCAAACCCGGGACCCTTCAGTCCAGGCTGATGCTCTATCCACTGAGCCAAACCAGCTAGGGCTATTTTTATTTATTTTAATTTTTTATTATTTTTTCCTTGGTACTATATTTCCTGTTTTATTATGTTTTTAATGTTCACACTCTTTATCTTTCATTTTTATTTTTAAAAAATCTTTATTGTTGAAAGTATTAATATGTTCCCCTTTCCCCCACTGACCCTCTAGCCACCCCTGCTCCCCGCCCCAGCCTCACCCCTGTTGTCAGTGTCCATGGGGGATGCCTATTTGCATACAAGTTCTTTGGTGATCACTTCCCACTCACCCCCCACCCCCTTCCCTCTAGTCTGTCCGCAGAGGAGCCGCTCTCTCTCTCTTAGACAAAGGGACCCTGTGGGCCTGGCGCCCTGGGAGGGGAGAGCCCTGCGGTTTTTCAGGGAGGCTGGGTGTCCGGGAGGCTGGGTGTCCGGGAGGCTGGGTGTCCCGGGCCCATGGTGGAGTCTGTTTGGGCTTCCCAGGGCCGGCCTGTGCGACACAGCGTCACAGGGAGGTCAGGATCCACGCCTCCCATCCCCGTCCCTCTGGCCCCGGCCTGGGCTGTGCCTAACCCGCTGGCCCAACCTCCTGGCCATGGTGTGCCCGGCCCCTCTTCTCAGGCCGGGCCCTGGGCGTCCCCCCTGCACCCTCCCTCGGGTCCACTCAGGCCCCTCTCCCCTCAGCTGTCCCCTCCACACCATCTGCCCCAGGCCGACCCTGCCCCTGCCCTATGGCCGACCCCGTGCCCTGTGCCCTGTGCAGGGTACAACGCCTGGCGGGA